GCCCCTTATACCTGCTCTTTAATAAGTTTTTTTCCACATAGTTTGAAATCCAGTTTTGTAATACCCATTTTTAAATCAGATAATTGGGATCTCAATAAATAATTATCGTCCAATATCAAAATTAAGCACAGTGTCAAAACTTTTTGAAAATTTAGTAGAACCTAAATCATCTAACTTTTTTAATGACCTTATAATTAATGAACAGAAGGGGTTTCGCCCCACAAATCGACATGTACTAATTTGATAGTGTACTATACTGAAGTTCCAGGGCGACTTTTGGCTGCACTTCTTCAAAGTTGATAGTGTGCGTTTTTTAAAGCCCAGAAGTCGTTCCCCTCAAAGCTCCTGTCTGGTAGTGAGGACTTCTCTTCGAACAGCGGAGCCCTTGCGCTTTCTTCGGGGTTTGACGACCGGGCTCGACGATCCCTCCCTATGGGGCATCATGAGTTAATCATCTTCTTCTATTGTGATGGCTCTTGCTATCGGATGATTTAAGTGCTTCGAGAGTTTAAACTCATTCGCCATAATGTCCAACACCTTGCTTAGCTTCTGAAGGGGCTCTTAAGGTACAGAGACGTTTTTCTCGTCGTCGGGCTCAGGCGGACCGCATGTGTTCGGGGACAAACTCCACGGCTCTGATGAGTTGAGCTTCCGCGATATCCATAACTTCTTTTGTCTTTTGTAGTGAGAGTAATTTCCACCGAATCCTTGTAAGTTTGCCTGCACACTCCCGCCCTTCCGCTATTGCTTTTATCTTTGCATCTCTGTTTTGGTTTCCATTTCATCCACTACTCTTTGAAGGAAATACTGGTACAGATCCCTTAGCTTTTTCTTGAGCTCGCTGATTTCGTGTACCAGTTTCGTTTTCCAAATCTCCAGTGGTTCCGATTTCCGATTTCTTGTCGTGTGAACTGTCAATCCCCAATCCGTGGGGGCCTTGGTCAGGAGGAGTATTTCCAATTGTGTTTTGAGTCATTTTGATTGTGAGGTCAATTTTCACCCCGGTTTATACTTGCCGGCGGATTTGCTAAGTGTTAGCAGGCTCCCTCCAGCCTTATCGTCCCAACTAACTAAAGTAGGGACCACGTCATCACTTTTAAGCGCTCTCTCTTCTACTATCAGATTCTCTAGTTGCTGTTCTTCATCCTGTGAATTATCAATTGTGTTTTAAAAAAGGCCAACCACATATTACAACTACTGATGTTATACTAGGCCTTTGGTGGGTGCTCCTCGATAGACCTTTGTTCTGATCGGCTCGAAACCTTCACCAATCGACTCCGCTTACCTTTCCGGTTCCATGGACATCTTACACGGCCGGATTAGACGAATTTTAGATTATTGCTTCCTGGGACCCTGGTATCTGAAAACAGTTTTTTTGGATTTCAAAACCCTCCCTGTGGGCAGGCTTTTGGTCCGAATCGAATGCAGTCTTCACCACTGGTCTCAGCTTGCCTAGACACCCCCCATGTCCAATTTGGCGTCATGCGCCCCCTAGCGGCGTTTTTAGGCGTAACTATTACGTGTGCCGGCCATAGATAATAAAAGATGTATAGGACATTTCCAATAATTGAGGCTACTATATTTTTGCGGTCCTGAACTGATACGAAATTGAGGCCGTTGTTTACAGTACTGGATATTATCTTATATAGATTATAAATAAAACAAATCCGGAGCTACTTAACACATTTTGTACACAGGCCGCATACGGAGTGGTGCGCAAGCACAATTTCCATGCCCGCGAAAAATGTTCCAACTACCGGCTGCTAACCAGTTTTAATGAGCCTCCTAGCCGTATGTTAAGGGAATGCAACAGTATTGCTTTCGGCTTTTAATTTTGAGAAAGATTCTTAACTTTGTTTTTTGTGTCTGGGTCAAAGGTAAACAATTAATAAGGTTTTTGTAAGTATCATAAGTTTAATATTCCAATTGTAGTTGTTTTATTTTGTTTCGTCTGCACACCTTTGCCCGAATAAGTGTTAATTGACTTATCAAATACATAGGAAAAAACCTTCCACGATGCGGAGGGGGGACGTGCGACGACATAATATAAAATGTCACGTACACTCGCCTTTGGTAGTCAGCGCGATCATTCATTTATTGCATTGAAACCCCTAAATCAGTATAAAAAGTACTATCGATTTAAAAAAAAACGTATCTAATAAAGCAGATTTACATCCGAAATTATTTCACATTTAAAAAATGTATGAGAAAATATTTATACTCTGATAAAATGTTTTACCCTAAGAACGCAAAACATTTTGTGGCGTTATGAAAAACCTAAAATACATTTCTTATCTACTAAAGAAAAAAATAATTAAAAGACATTACTCGATTATATTTACCTCTATTGGAGTTTTTGGCTGACCTTTAGTACAAATCTGGCCAGCTTTTACTAAAACGTTAAAAGACGGCAACAAAAATAAAATTTTCCAAATCATTTTTTCGTTTTTCTACTATGGGATAATAACACTAAGAAACAACTAGAGAAGTGATATTAGTCAGGTACAGCACTAAGCTGAATTTTGATGCTTTCTTTACAATATGACTTCAAAATTTGTTTTGCGGGTAAAAACCAAGCTACGTTTTTATACAAGTGGGCTTGGTTAAATAAAAAACATCAATTTGATAGTGACAGAATAACATGAAGTGAGTGAAATTTTTATGAAATTGTATACAGGGTGATCATGTTATCGTGAACCACTCTTTATGTCGTCGGGTTTAATTAATAATTTTATTTTTCTTAGGGTTTTTATAACATTTAACGGTTTCATGTTTAAATAATCGACTAATAATTGATTCAAGTGGGACTTCTAAATCTGGTGCTGCATTAATCTCAAATAACAATGAATATCAAAAGTATTACAATAATATGTATTTTTCTTATGTAGACTTCTTTAACTACAGAGCTAAAGGAACGGTTTCTGTTACAGGTATACATTTTAACTGTGCCTGTTTTGTTAACCGTGAAACTTTTGAAATCCTTCTTACATGTCCAAAAATGATTTCATTAATTAAGTTAAATGGTGATTTTTAAGATTTATTGCTTATGAAATGGGAACTCGGGAAAGTAGTAATTTGTTTCGGTCGTCTATAGTAATAATATTTTTTAAATTTAACGGTGTCCTTTTTTAAGAAACAATTTACTAATTCTGAGCTCTGATATACTTTTGAGTAACGGAAAGTCATTAAAATTGAGTTTATAATAATATTTACAGGGCATTGATAGTGGCACAATTTATAAATTATTATTATTTAATTAATTATGTCAATAAAAACGCTGCAATTTTTAAACTGTAATCATTAACAAAAAATGATTTAAAATTATGCCACAATCGATGTCTTGAAAATGTTATACAGAATACAAATATTTTTTTCAAAACTTAAATTACAGTTTTCTTAGGACCGTACTGTTTGAAGTATAATAAGCTGTTTTCCACAAAAATTTTAAAGGTAATATTCACTTGTTATTGAACAGCGCAGTTTCTATTTGATTCACCTCAATTTAATCCAAGTCCCACTGTATGTGTAAACGTATCATATCCTACATTATTTGTACTTTGGCAATAATAAAACAGATAAACAATTACAAAACATAAAAACGTCTTCGAAAAACAAAATACTGACTTTCACCTGAAAAAAAACCTGTAGGTTAAACTACACTACAATATCAAAATTGTTGTAAAACTTATAGCACTATTAAATCATCTGTTTAATATTAAATAAGAAGAAAATTAATTTACAGTTGTTTAAAGACACATCAACTTTCAGAAGTTTTAGGCTTCTGTTATTTTGCCTTTAAAATTGGCTTTATTTTAGAAGACATGTGTGTGTGTGTATCCTTGTGTCTGTTATGAATTAACCTTTAAACATGGAAATAACAGTTCCAACAACCACTTTAGTAGTTTACATAACCATAATTTAAGGCTCAATTATAACGACACAATGAATTTACAGATGGGAGTACTAAGTTAGAATAACAATTAATTTTATTTAGTTAAAACAAATATATTAGGTTGAATTATTAAACAATTTAGCAGTAGCTAATTATCATATATTTTTTATAATACTGTTTATTAATAGATAACAATTTAGTTCCATTTATCAAAATAATATAATTATGTTAACATAATAATGTAAAGAAAATATTATAATAACACTATAGCATACTTCAAATTGTTTTTTTAATGTTTCAATAACGCTATTTTTGTATACAGAGAATGACCATTTAATTTGTTCTATTTAAAATAATAATTGTTGTAATTTATATTAATTAAATACACAACAATTGAATGTGTAGACTGCAGTCACTCTATTTAATTTTTTTCAAATTACGGATAGATGAATTAATATTAAGTAGGTAATAGAAAGATTATTATATAAACAAATAATGATAATATAATACATATTATATTTACGCAATTATAACATTTTAAAAATAATATTTAAATAAAAGTGTAATGATAATAAAATAATAATATTATGATTACGGAAATGCCATCTGCTTTAAATAATATTATTTAAATAAATAATATTATTTAAACGTATGTCGTTCGGTTTTTTGTGATTTTATACGTTACAACCATTTTCTTGCACGGTACTACTGTACATGCGGTACTGTATATTTACATAAGTTATAGCAAATATCTATTTTGTACATTCGTATTTTACCAAAGTTGAAATATTTGGAATTATTTTATTTACTATTATACCCCTCAAGACATATTGTAACTGCATTGCTATACGAGTTTAACACATAAACATAAGTATTAAATTAGAATTTCTAGTTTTAGTAAAATTTCGTTGCTGTACGATAGGCATGTAGGTTTGTTTTTTTACACATAATATTATTATTCAGTATTTTTCACAAAAAAAAGTATAGTATTACCTTCGTTACATATTTGTACGATTCAAGTTGCTGTGGCACATACATCTCTACAACATACAAATGATACAACACAATATATAAAAAATGATTATAATATATTTTTTTTTTAAATCGTTTAATGCGTAACAAAGGTTTCATTTCCTTCAGCTGCCACTATTATACGAATAAACGTGCCGTCGACTGGTACCAATGCAATTCGTATACGTAAAATATAATCGTCTATCATTTTGTCGTTATCTTCGATGCTCTTGTAAATTAAATCATGGTCTTCTGGAACTTTAAAATCTTGTAATTTTTGATTGAGGTCGGATGCACTAGCGAGTCCTAAATTTTCCGCAGCCTGACAAAAATACTTTCTCGTAAACTCTTCCCGTGCCGCGAGTTCTTCTTCGCTAATTTTATTTATTCCGTCCCTCATTATGTGTATTGCAGACCAGTAGATGTTTTCGTTCCCAAACCCAAACTCCCTCAAGGTATTCGTGAGACGTGAAACAGGCGTATTCCACATTTCCACCATTGGTACTTCAACGCCTGACGGTCGGGTGCGTAATACGAGGTATGTTTTTAAGTGACGCCATGCATAAAAAACAAGCTTTAGTTGAATGCATTTCAAAATCAGGGCATTGCTCTTGTTCCGGCTGATCGGGTCCAATTGCCATCGATAAATCAATGTTTGCTGACTGTACAGCCCAAAGTAGTCAGTCAATTGACGTTTGACACTCTTCGTTTCGAGTTCGAAGCCTTCAGACGACCAGTCGAAAATGAAATCGTTATTCATAGATAAACGCAGCAACATAAGATTCTGTACTGTAAAGTGTTCATACAATTTGTAGGCGTTCAACACATCCCTCGAGTACAACAATATCATATGCTCTAAAACGCCGTCGACGAGACTGGATATCGCTGACCCCTCTGAGGATATATTGCCACGATACGTTAAATATGTTCGTTCGAAACATTGGCTAACGAACGCTGACACGTTAGCTCGCATAAGGTCTTTGTGATTTTTGAAATGTTCTTTGTATTCTTCAAAGTCCACGTCGGAAGACTCGAGGCCCGACACAAAGGTGAAAACTCTGATTTGCCAAGAGTAAGCGTCCCATCGTGCCATGTTCAACAGGGACAACATTTTGGTCATATAAACTTTGGGATTCCAAACGGAGCACCCGAGGAATTTTTCTTCTGCCCAGCCATGTGAGTAGTTTTCGAAGATTGCTTCAAGTTCGTCCAAGACATTCAAAACAAATAATCCGTGAATACACTGGATAGCTTGCATTTTCTGCCGGTATTTTATAACGGATGCTCTTTTGCTGTCCAAACAGTCTTCGTCAGGCCAGCATTCTGTCGAAAGAAGTGTTATTTCTCTTTTTTTAAACTTAACATCCGTCTCGGCTAACGTCCGTATAGAATTTAACGATTGTACAAATTCCACGTCGTACAGTTCTTCCAAGTATTCCTATAACAATTTTGTTGTTTCGACATTAACATATTAAACAAATAAAGTATTGAAAATGTCGTAGTACCTATAAAATTAGTTATATTTTATTTAAAAAAAAAAGTCATCCAAATGATCGTTGAGATAATATTATATTATTTACACGTCAATTGTTTGAAAACGTATTATTCTAGTAAATTCTGTAATAAATAATTGAGCCATTTTTAGTGTTTATAATTTGTTATTTTAATATTTTAATTATTTTTTATAGGATAATTAACGGGCTCTAATAGAGTTCTAAATACGAAAATTTCATCTCGAACAATATTTATGCAACATCCGGTGTTCTGCAGGGAGACTACTTATCACCGTTATTGTTTATGCCCTTTATAAATTATGTATCCAGTAAAACAAAATACTCTAAATTTCTATTTCTATTTGCTAGCTGATGATTTGAAGTTATTTAAACAAATTCGTTGTTACTATGATACTTTACTTCTTCAAAAATATTTAAACTCTTTTAATGAGTGGTGTATAGACAATCGTATGTCTTTAAATATAGAGAAATGTAGATTCATTTTATTTATTAAAAAAAAAAAAAAATATAAATCATTATAACTATACTATAAACAATTTTACAGTCACTAGAGTAATTTAAGTAAATTAACTATATATTACATTTGATTCTAAACTCTCCTACAACTCCCATATTAATATTATCACAAATAAGGCATTATATCTATTAAGTTACATTAGACCTACCTATACAGATTTCCTTGATGATAAAGTTTAAAAATTATCATATTTCTCATTATTTCGTTCTCAGCCTGAATACGCGAGTTAAATTTGGCGTGATAGGTCATTGAATCAATTACAGTGTCTTTAAAAAATCTAAAGTAATTTTTTACGATTTGTAAGCTTTCAATTTAACGTACATAGAACTCCTCACTCTGGTTATATGGTGTACGTGGATATTTTACTATGATGCCTTTGGATAAGTTTTAAATTATTAGCTAAAAAGTTTTTACACAAGTTATTTAATAACGCTGTGGATTTCCTAGAATTAATTAACTAATTGAGTTCTTAAGTTGTAAAATTAATTTATCTAGTACAATAAAAACCTCTTTTTTATTTGCCTAATACCCAAAATATTATTACATTTAAAAACTGATGAGAAAAATTTTCTACTTTGATAAAACATTTTATACAATGAATGCAAAACATTTTGTTTATTTATGAAAAACATATTACAGCTTTTACCCCCTCAATATACAAACTAGATAAAATTTGTAATTTATAGAGTGCTATTCGAAGGAATTGGTCTAGTATTAAAAAAGTTACAGTGCGTACAGCTAAAAAAAAAGCCCACATCAGAGTAAAACCAATACCTTCTCGCTTTGCATCGAAGCTAAAAACATTCGATTAAGGTGTTTTGGGTAAAGTATACCCAAAATGTTGAAATAATATAGAGTTCTTTAACAAAACGCTCAAAATGATACAAATTCCTGTATCCCCTTGGCTTTGGTCACCTGAAATCAATAAATCAATACCCAACTTACAGAATACAACAGACAAAACGCTCCTAAACTTTGTATCCAAGCTCAATTTAACGAAATTCTATCGCGACAATATGAAAATCACAAGAGATTCTACACTAACTCTTCGAAAACACAAGTAGGTGTAGTTTTTGATGCAATTAAAAACCATCTAAACCACACATTCACTCTACCCTCCAACTGTTCCATATACACCGCAGAAACATACTAGTTACATAAAGCAATAAAAATATCTTCGAGAAAATATCAGCTCAATCAATGACTCTCTTAGCTCTTACGTCACTAGTGAGCGAGTAGTGCAATATATTCAAAAACTTTTATCTGGAACTAGCAAATTAATTTCTTCTATATGTGAGTGCAATATAAAATATCACGTATCTACGCTCCTTAACTGTATTAAAAGCGATCATTCATTTTTGCAGTCTCGATTTCAGTATGAAAAGTTCTACCAATTTAAAAAAAAAAGGTATCCAATAAAGTAGATTTACACCCAAAATGTTGTTACATTTAAAAATGTATGAAGAAATATTTTAAGTATAATATCATTACTACAGTTTTCAATCCAATGAATGCAAAACATTTTGTTTATTTTTGAAAAACATATTATACATATTGTACTTGCTAACATTTAAAAGACATTAATTGATTATATTTACCTCTCCTGGAAGGTTTTGGTAGGTTGTATTCGCTTTTAATAAAACGTTGAAACACGCCAAAAAAAATATTATTTTCCAAATCATTTTTTCGTTTATCAACTAACAAGCAACTAGAGAAGCGAGTGAAAATGTTATAAAATATTATATTAATACCTTAAAATATGTTTTGCTCATTTTGAAGTGCGTAAAAAAATCATTTATGGTTTGTTGTTTATGTTTCAATACACATGTTTTGCAAAATGTTTAATAAAAAAAAAAGGCCTAGGTATTAAAGCTAATACAAAATATTGAAATGTTTTTGTTTTTAGTATTTACACAAACTTGTATGGTTTTCTTACTGTAGCCTACCATTTTAAATAACATTTGTTATAAGATGAATTTCAGATGTAGCTAGAAAAATAAAGCTTTAACATTGTACACGAAAAATAAATATTAAATGTTTTAATACCACTTGATATATTATACTATTGTAGCTTCGAAGCAATTGTTTGTGCAATGATTTGTTTGTATTGTTATTTTTTTTTTTTGTTTTACCTGGATCTGTTATATCTCCTCGACTGTAATAAAATTACTTTGTTTACAGAAGTATACAAACATGATATATGTATTGATTAACTGAGTATTATGTATCGAGGGTGAATAGTAAAATTGAAATGAGTACGATGGTATAAAGTGTATCATAATAATATGATTATAATGAAATAGATAATAGTATAGTTATTTCTAAGTAGGATACGCTGAACACATACCTACATATTTCATGTCGATTATAAATGTTTACAAATTTGAAGCACACAAAGTAGCTTCAGAACTATAACCGTAACTGGTATAAAAGGTGCTGTCTCAAAGACCGTTTAGCAATTTAAATCTTTCGACGCTTCTCATCACTATTTTAGTTGTGCGAGAAAAATGTGTTGTTTTTAGATTTGGACAATTTTCCTCAGTGCATCAAATAATGCATTACGTATCTGACTATTTTGATTACCCATTTAACAAAACACATTAATAAAATAATATTTAAAAACTATAGAAAAATTATGTACGCGGAGAGTATATAATTTGTTATGGTTAAGGGTTTTTAACTATTATTTTATTATATATAGCCATAAGTTTTTCCTAGAAAACACATTACTTACTAATTCACCGCTTTATTATGTATAATAGACACATTTGTAAACGTGCAAATTTATTATCGTATTGTTTTAATTTAACCATGCAAAGTAAAAATCCGTTTAGCGAGTGATCAATCTCTCTTTTGTAAGACAAACTTGGTATTTTTGAATAATTATTCTAAAACTTGATCTGAACGGTTTTATTATTTAACAACCAATAATTGACACAAGTAAGACCATTGAATTTTTTAACAGTGAAACTTTCTTTGCTGAAATGTTCAACCATTTTCATGGTTGCTAATAATTATTCGAGTGCGAACATCGAATATTATGTTTTAAGCGGTAACATGTTTTCACAACGATGTGAGAAGCATGTTTTTTATTTTGTTTTCTGTTTTTCACCGCAATGTCACTACAAACGAGTGGGTATATTTTTTTTTTGTACTATTATAATAAAAATTGTTTTTTTAATTGTATGTCGTTCGGTTATTTGTGACTATGTATGTTTGAACTATTGTCTTACACGGTAGTACTTTATATTAACAAAAGATATAGTAAATGCCTATTTTGTACAGTGGTATTTTACCGTCGTTGAAATTTTAAAAATGATTTTATTTGTTATTATATCCATCAAGACATACTGTATATTGTAATTAGAGTTTAAGGTATAATTATTAAATACACAACTAGCAATTTTAGTATCAAATAAAATCCCCTTGCTGTACAGAAGATATATAGATATTATTTTTTTACACATCATATTATTATACAGTATTTTTCACAACGTCTGTAGCGTTGAAAACAAAATATGAAAAACACATGTTGGGTACAGAACAATCTTTAAATTATGCCATTATAAGAAGAGTCAGATTATACGAAAACAATTTTTTTATAACTTTACCTACGTTATATTATTTGTAATGGTTTCATTAAAAAATGATCTAACGAAAAAATAAAATTATTGATTTGAAATCGGGAGATAAAATCTTGTTAAATGTATAGAAGGTGATTCTTTTATCTTGAACCAGTCAAATCTCACTGGGTTTAATTAATAATTGAATTTTTTTTTCATATTGTTTCTATACAATGTGATCTCAATTTTTCACATTTTTTTTTTGTTTTTCCCCTCTTTCAACTTAGTATTTTGATAGCAACTTTTGAAACTTAAACATTAACGTATATATTTTATTACCTTTTTAGATAGCAAAATAATGTATTATAAATTTTGACTGTTCGATAACCAGTTTCGGATAACTATTTTTGAAGTTATAAGAGTTTAAAAGTAAGGATGGAAGGGGAAGTGGAGTGTAGTATTATTTTTATCTGCGCGCATTTCCCAACCACACTTCCCCTTCCATCCAAATTTTTAAACTCTTATAACTTTAAAAATAGTTATCCGAAACTGGTTATGGACCAGTCAAAATTTGTAACACACTATTCTCTATTTAAAAAGGTAATAAAATATAAACGTTACCATTTAAGTTTCAAAAGTTTAAAAGGTAAAAACAAAAAAAATTGTGAAAAATTGAGATCACATTGTATAAAAATAAAATGAAAAATTATAATTCAATTATTAATTAAACCCAGTGAGATATTGAATGGTTCGTGATAAAAGAATCACCCTGCACGTAATATGATTTTTTGGTATCTTGGCCACACATGAATTAAAATAAAAAATTAAAATAATTTATTGTACCAATAGAGCGTCCTAAATGTCTCATTTGAAGCTCGGTAGAACTTTACATTACACCCTGTATATAAACAGAAGAGAACACAATTATTATTTAGTAGTAATAATTATTATAATAATATTATTGCTTTTATATTTAATTACAATTTTTTTTTGCAATATGAAATCATTATAATGTTATTTATTTTTCATTTTCAAATCATCTAAGGCATAACAAAACTTTCATTTTTTTCAGCTGCCACTAATATGCGTATAAATGTGCTGTCAACGGGGTTTAGTTTCACTTGTATAAGTATAATGTAAAAGTCTATCATTGTGATTCTATCATTTGTGAACTTGACCGTTAGACCGCGTTCTGGAATTTCATAATCTTGTAATTTTTGATTGAGGTCGGATGCACTAGTGATTCCTAAATTTTCTGCAGCTTGACAAAAATAATTTCTCGTAAACTCTTCCCGTGCCGCGAGTTCTTCGTCGCTAATGTTATTTATGTCCTTCCTCATAATGTATATTGCAGACCAGTAGATGTTTTCGTTCCCAAACCCAAACTCCCTCAAGGCTTTTGTGAGACGTGAAACAGGCGTATTCCACATTTCCATCATTGGTACGTCAACGCCAGACAGTCGGTTCCGTAAGACGAGGTATGTTTTTAAGTGACACCATGCATATAACACAAACCTTAAATGAATGCATTTCAAAATCAGGGCATTGCTCTTGTTACGGCTGATAGGGTCCAATTCCCATCGATAAATCAATTGTTCCAGACCGTACAACCCAAAATTATCTCTCAATTGATTTTTGACATTATTTGTTTTGAGATCGAGTTTTTTCCACCCCCAGTCGAAAATGAAATCGTTATTAATAGATAAACGCAGCAACATAAGATTCTTTACTGTGTAGTGTTCATAAAACTTGTAGGCGTTCAACACACCACTCGCGTACAGCAATTTCATATGCTCAAAAACGCCGTTGACGAGACCGGATATCGTTGACGCCTCTGTGGTTGTATAGCCTGGGTGCATTAAATATTTAAGATGGACACATTGGCTTACGAACGGTAGCACTATTTCTCGCATGGGTTCTTTGTGATTTTTGAAATGTTCTTTGTATTTTTCAAAGTCCACGTCCGAAGCGGCGAGACCCGACACAAAGGTGAAAATTTCGACTTGCCAAGAGTAAGCGTCCCATTGTGCCATGTTCAACAGGGACAGCATTTTGGTCAGATAAACTTTGGGACTCCGAACGGACTCCTCAAAAAAATATTGTAGTATCCAGCTGTGTGATCGTACTTCGAAGATTGCTTCCAGTTCGTTCAAAACGAACAAAACGAACAATCCGTGAATACACTGGATAGCTTGCATTTTCTGCCGGTATTTTATAACGGATGCTCTTTTGTTGGCCAAACATTCTTCGTCAGGCCAGCATTCTGTCGAAAGAAGTGTTATTTCACTTTTTTTAAACATAACATCCGTCTCGGCTAACGTCGGCATAGAATTTAACGATTGTACAAACTCCACGTTATACAGTTCTTCTAAATATTCCTATAGCAGTTATTGTGTTATTTGGACGTTCACAAATAAAACAAACAAAGTTAAATTATTAAATATATTTATTTCTGTGGAAGCCAAAGATATTTTTTAAAGTATACTTCTTCTAATCATAGATCCGTTATAATAACTGTTAATCGATTGGTAACTCAAAAACGAAACTCTAGAAATAGAAAAGCTTTTTATGAATTCAGAAATTTGAAGTTTCTGTATCATTTCGCATTTGTTTTTTTAAGCTACCATTTTGACGATCGTTTTTTTTAAAATTCATCATATATATTTTTGAATGAGTCATTAAATACTGAAGAAATACCAAAAAAAAACCACGTAGAGTGGAGGAATGTGGGACGTCAGTAGTAACGATCAGAATGTAAAATGAGTAAAACGCAATCAATAAATTAGTCTATAACTTTGATTAGCAAAATATTTGCAGATTCGTAGTCAGTATATATAGTGTTTACGATTAAAAAAAACCAGTACAGTGGGGTCGGGGCATAGTGGTGACGGGGAGGTCACAGGTTTACAGGAATTTTTAAATCTGAAAGTGATAAAATCACTTTCGAAAAAACGCTTCTATGCAAATCGGTAGTTAGTATTTTCAAGCCAGTACACTCCAAACCAAGCACAGAATAATCTAGCAAAGTTAGAAAGTTTAAAATGAAGGTTCTGTATTTACAAATGAGCATCAAA